CAAGTGTGTCATTTTTTAAATCTATAAACCAATACACCAAAGTACAAGCAACCAGAAAGAATATATGTAAATCACTCAGACATCAAATAAAAAATGAGAAAAAAAAAAAAGCATGCTTAAATCCTCTACCTGAATCAAATCCGGATTTAAAGTACGGCGGACACTTACCCCTAAAAACCAAGTGGAGAATTGTGGGAAAGGCATCCCAATCATATATTTAGTTGCCTTCAAGAAAGAGGAACTACTTTACTTTTGCCAAAAAGTATTCCTGTGTCTGTAGGTTTATGTGTATTACAAACTTATTTCATATACAAATTCAATTATATGAATGAAGTAATCCGCAAATTTAAGTTGGTAACTGTAGGGGACTAAGAACATTTTTTAAAAATTCAAGTTCGCAAATTTACTGTTACATTGAAAATCACTCATTAAAAGTTGCATTGGATAATAAATACTAGACATAACTGGTTTACTTCGTAAGCGATATAAACGCTTCTAGCTATTGTATAGTTATGTATTACAAAAGCTTTAATAAAATTCTACTATTCGTTCAAAACATTAGGGTTTCGTGTCAAATGGCCACTATCCATTTGCCATTGATCGCTACTTTTTATTTTCTATGTCTGGCTCATAGAAGGGAAAAAAAACAAAACAAAAACCACGTACTATAGGAAATATACTACCATATGGATTTATTCAAATTAAAACAGAATATGGGAAAGCAATCTTTAAATAAATTATTTTAGCAATGGCTAAACAGTAAAAGAAAAAAAAAATAATGGATTTAATGTTCTTTAACATTCCAGTGCTACCTTCGAGTTCTTCTAATGTAAACCTGCGGGCTTTCCTAAATGCAAGTGTACAGACATAGTCGAGTAAGCAAGTTAATCTAGTTAATGATAAGCAAATGTCACCAAACAAGCACAGCTTGATTCCCCTGAGCAAACCAAAAGGAATCTTGCAAGCTTCTTCGATGCCAACATTTGGGACTCAATTCTGCAATTCCCCAGTGCCAATAAAGGTTATTCTGACATTGCAGAATAGAGAAACGTAACAATTTGCACCTGCAAAACTACATGAACACAAAAAGGAAGTTGCTGGAAGGCCCAAAAATAACATATGTCATGCAGTCACTGTGTGAACAAAAGTTACAATATGGTGTTACTATGGTAATAAAGCATTTCAGTCCTAGCATTCTGTTAGCCATGAATAAGAACACAGTAAAGGTGGCGTGTGGTCTCCAGACTGAAATATTTTCTTTTCTCTGTAGTTTCAAAATTAGCTTCTCTAAAAATCTAGGGTGGTCTTCTAGTAACAGTACCTTTTATAGCTCCTGCTTGTAATATTAACAGGGACCATTCAGCATACAACCAATGTTGCACGTAAAAAAAATATAATTAAATTAAATGGAAGTGGCTCAGAATCCTGAATGTGCAACATCCATAGGGTGACTGGTTTCCAGGTTGCAGAATGTCTGGATAGAAAAAAAGAGTAGGTACATAAAAGGTATAAAGAATGTGTTTCATGTTGAAGTCTGTATCAAAGGCAATTTGTCAGGTCACTGGTACAAGTCCAGCCTTTGAATTAGTGAAAATTTCAGCAGATTCAAAATTCCTTGTCGATGCCCCTGTCACATCCTTCAATAGATTCTCCCTCTGCTACGGTTGAAGCGGCCACCACCCCATCCTCTTCCTCTACCTCCACGGAAATTTCCTCGTTGTTCTGTGGTGACAAAGAATCAATTAATAATCTCACAGATCTTAAAGTAACAGTAATGCAATTCAACAAATGCGCACACACACACACAAACATTAGTTCTGGCCTAAAGGTTAGGTCAATGCACATTGTAACTACATCAGAAATAAACACGATTTGACAGATGCTCATGCTTGTATAGCAGGTGACGTTTCAAGATTGGAACAGCATCAGAACTAAGAATTTTAGGGATTTTACTTGTATCTGGTCATTGGACATTTGAATATTTACTGAACGCCTCCAATTTGCTTACCCATAGGCTGACAGTGTATGTGCCAGGCGATCAGTGGGAACAGATTGCCCTGCAAAGTCAATGAGTTATATTGCTACTTAGCACAGACTGACATCCGCTATCAGCTAGAACTGTAACCGATTACAACTACCAGACAGAAAAACCGGTAGCTAGAATTAGTGAATCTTCAATGCCAATTATATGCCCTAGCTGTACATCATGGCTGATCCTGCATAATAACAGGATTCATGGTTGCATGGCAACTGGATAACCAAGAAGTGAGCTGCAACATGCCGCTATAACATGCTTTAAGCTGGGGCAGTTATTCATAGGAGCAAGAGATATTGAGATGCTGTATGTTTTGAGCAAAAGAGGGAGATCATTAGGGACTGGAATGACAAAATTCATACCTAACAGGTACCTCCTGATAACACTGTATAAAATACGCAGAAGCAATATATAGAATCACTTAATCAGAAGCCCAAAATTAAGGTTTTGTGGGGGAGGGTATTCTTTAGAATAGACCAAGAGATTTAAATTAAAGGCTATGATAGTTGAGCTGAAAATATAATGGAATTTTTCTAGTTCAAGTATATTGGCCCAAAATGTTTAATTCACCGACAATTCAGTTAAGTGAATGACCCCAATAATAAAAATAGCAAGCATGCTCCACAAAATAAATTACTGTCTTAAATAAGACCCTCTTATTTTAGGTAATAAATCAGAGCTTGGCTTATCACGTTACACGAATTTGTGATTTTGTGCACATTTTTAAAGTTTAATAACTCATAAATCAAAATGTTTACATCATCACTGGCATTACTGCGATTCTATGTACTTACCGTATGGAACGTTCCCAAGGGTCCCACTGTATTTTCCACTGGGTGGGTTGTAGATCTGTCTGGCATCTCGCTTTGGCCCCTGTACTTGTAACTTCTTTGGAGGTGAAGTAGACGCTGGCTCCTCGACTGATCTTTTTTGCCTGTATAAGAAGATCAAGCAGGAATATTATCTACATACTCTTATAGAAAAAGTACCCCTATGGATTTTTAGTAAACAAGTTTCAACTAGCTATAAAACACTATGATTATATATCATAATATCCTAAAACTGAATTGCACAAAAAATGCTCTCAACTCACCCAGTTTCTGCTTTCTGGACTGGTTTCCAGGACAATGTCACTGAGCTTTTGTAGGATGGAGGGTTGTGAAACAAATCCTAAAATTTAAAGAAATGGGAAAAAAAATAAATAATGTTTTTAATTTGTCAAGAAATGAGATCGGAAACACACACACACACACACAAAATATATACAGGTTGTTTTGCAACTGCAGAATTATTACAAGGGTTACTCACTAAAATGAGTCAGGAATTCAAAGTAAATTTAAAATTTAAGGCTTTAGGAGTTAAACTGGAAAAAACTATCTAAAACCAGCTATGCTTCAAATTTGGCTACTTCGGCCTTTATTGTGAAATTCACTTTGAATTCCTGACAATTCCTACTTTAAGTGAATAACCCTGTAGGAGTATTAAGACAAATTTTACAGGTAAGAGGGAGGGTGCGTGGGACGTGAAATAATTACCTTAATTAAAACGTTGATGTTATTGGTTATTTTCAAAGCCACTACTTTAATTTTGTTCTGAAAGAAAAATAAGAAAATCACATTATACAGTCGAAATTCACACTCTAACAAAGTAAATAATCCATATATCGGCTATAAGGTATATTTTATTCCAGCAATGTAACATTTACAGATTCATTGGTGGTTGTAAAACAAACTCAACAGCTGATGGCCAATGCAAGATACTATTAAACAAGGCAGACCAGAAATGAAAACATATCTGTTGTTTTAGGACTACAACTCCCATGATGCTCTATCAATCTTGAAGAGTAGTGAAGCTGGGCATATTTTAGTTTAACAAAAGAATGTAAAGTACAGTTGTGTCACTATATATTGGCCCAAACACAAAGGTATACAATGCAGCATGAATATTTTTACCTCTTCTGTTTTCAGTGCTTCCCCTGACTTGCCTTGCAAAGCGAGGCGCAGTTGCCGAATGTAAACTTGAAGTCCTCGGGCAAAGTACTGTAACCTGTAAGAAGTAAATTGTGTTAATGTGCTTGTTTGCAGAATTTGACATAAAAACCTTGGTCCAGAACAATGTGATACTATCACAGGTAGTGTACAAAAAGGAATAAAGAACTTACCTGATTTTGAAATCTTTTAACTTCTCAGCATTCACTTTAGCTATGAGAAAGTCTGGTAACTTTCTCCCCAGTTGGTGGAAACTGAAGAGAAGACACTCGACGTAACTGAACTGCAGCTTAGGTTCTTCATTAGCTGTATTCTCACCATTCTCTGTTTCTTCGGGAGGAAGAGGCATATATTCCTATCAACACAATAAGAAAAAAAAGGTTAATACTGTTTAACTATGCAAATACGCATTGACGTAATTACAATCTTACACACCCTTAAATGAGATTACTTTTATAGAAGAAAGCAAAAATGAAAAATGCTCACCAGTAATTTATCAAAAAGTTTGTTCACATTTGACTCAAGCTTGTCCATATCCCCGCAGTACGAGCTCATTTCAGCAAGCAGTTTCAAGACCTGTAAATACAACAGTACATTAAGTTAAAGCCAGTATTTATTTTATACAAAACATTGTTACACAGAATATGTGGCACATCGCAAAATAGCAAAAATTAGTCATATTTATTATTATATGGGTAATGAATTCTAATATGCAAACATATAATTGATACAAAAGACTAGACTTCGAAGATCTTGAATTTACTGGCTTTTCAGTTTTTACATCTCAAATTAGGATGTTCGCATTGTATTCAAATCAGTTTTAACTTACTACTCATACTCCGGATTTAATTAGTAGTTAAGCACTTGCCAAAGTTTCACTGATCATATACTGTGAGAGACTATAAGAGATTGATGCCTAATCCATTAGGATCTGCTACCTGCTTTGCTGACAGTCCCATTCATTATGAGTGAAACTGTCAGATGTGATCTGCTAACCAGGAAGCTGTGTATTTGTATAGTGTGCCTATGCTGTTCCAATATTTTGAAAGGTAGCGGAAGTATAGCTGAACAAAGGGGCATGTTAAAAGCTGCAGTGATTGAAGCAAATCACTGCAGTTCTAAGCATGACTGTAGGGAATCAGGAGATCTCCTTGCATCATAACCACTAAAATGTTACAAATGTGCATGGAGAGCCCCTTTAAGCACAGACCATTATGTTTTTCACCACTCCTCTGAAACACAGATCACCAATATAATTAAAAATTAGTAAGAAAACACTTACTTCAAGCTGAACATCAATACCTTCGGCGGGGCTGGTCAAGGAGCTCAAGGTAGGCAGGACATTCTCACAGAAGTATGTCAAAAACTTAGTCGAATGGACATTTTTCTTTAAGACAAAAAAAAAAAAAAAAGAAGCAAATATTGAAATCTGAACATTTTATTATTGATTAAAGCATATGATGGAGACTAAAACAAAGACGTGTAACTTACTGAAAAGAGGGGAACAGCCTGTCTCATGCACTGCAGCATGCGGTCTACAGAATCGGGGTCGGCGGGATTTAAAGTTTGATGCAGGCCGGCCTGTTCAGACACCAGATCTACCAGCTGCTGTCTTCCACTAACCGTCTGTAAGGTTTTCAGATATGAGAGGATCTTCATGAACAGCACAAATTCTTCTCCAGTGACATCATACAGGACCTGCAGATCGATAATGTTTAATTAAATAAACTGTTACTTAAGCCGACAAGCCATTGACAAAAATCATTCATCTACGCCTGCTTGTGAATATGCATCTTTTTTGTATTCCTACCTTCTTGGACTCATTAAATACATATTCTTCTACTTCCTTTGTCATGATGTCCTCTGGCAGAGTCTTCAGCTTGGTGGAGAGAAATTTAATGGCCCTCTCACGAACAATATCTTCTCCTTGGAGAATCTGCGTAAACAACCCACCTAATGTACCTACAGAGTGGGAAAAATATATATATATTGGTATGTTCACAGATGTGTTCTACGTACTGAACTACAAACACTGCTAGTAAATGTATAGATTTTTTTTTTTTTTTTTTAATATGCAGAAAATGGCTACTACTGTGGGATTGAATCTACAGCTCCACGATAATTTGTGCACAGCTGTCTTAAGTATAACTAGAACACTGTATATTATGGGTGGATATGGTTGCCGTTTTTATCTCATTGGGCATAGCAGTTATAGTTACAATATATTTTTTTAAAGGAATACAGTTTGAACTACTGCTAGAACAGAGTATGTTATACTTCTGCAAAGTGTTAAATTACCTCACTTTACTGAGTTCCTTTAACCCCTTTTATTCCAGAAGTTTGGTCCTTAAGGGGTTAAAGAACCCATTAGATCTGTCTGTATTAAAATAAAAAAAAGTAATTACTCTTACCTTTGGCATCAATTTTAAAAATTGTAAGCAAAGCATTGTTCACTAGGTTAAATTCAGCCGAGTCATCTAAAAAACAAAAAACAAAAAAACAAATCATGAAAAAAAAAAAATGTAAAGCTGCTGACAGAATTCTTAAAAGATGTGCTGGATTTAACCAGCAAAGATACAATTCAAGGACATTCTAGCAAAAGTTAAATTTTTACGATACAGTCTCTTGTTTAATTAAAATATAACTCAGCAGTTAAAAAATTTACTTATTGTGGGTAATAAAATCATACCTGACTGCAGTAACTGAGTCAAAATATCTGCTACACGAGGTAGGTTCTCTCCTGCAGCAAACTGGGACAGTTCTTTGATCGCTTGACGACGAATCTGATAAGGAAACAAATACATTTACAATACAGTTTGTTTAAAACATTATTATACAAGAATAACAACCCAATAAAACTTTGTTTACTTACTGAAACATCTTCATCTTCACACAGGTCAAGCTGTGCATTAAGAGCTGCATCAGAAAGCTCAGGGAAATGTTTGAAGAATTTTGGAATAAATTGGGCTGCAAGCCTCTTTTCCTTGGCTCCTCCCTTCACGCCATCCAAGATCACTTGGTATGCATTTTTGTGCTAAAAAAACCCAAACATTTACTTCAATTAGAGACAATTAATCAGGGATCACGCAGGAAATTAGTGACTTGATGGTTAGCACATGGCACCTCAACAAACCAGGGGAGCACTCAAGGTTATCGGAAGAACAGGATGGGACACCTAGATGGAAGGGACGCCCGGACACACAGAAAACAGGCAGTCACGGGAAAGAACAAAGGTGATCCAGAATATAGAAAATCAGGGAAAGAGAATCCAGGTAGTCAGGGAAAGAGAACCCAGGGTGACTCCAGGATACCCGCAGTCAGGGGAAGAGAACCCAGGTGACTCCAGGATAACCGCAGTCAGGGGAAGAGAGAACCCAGGTGACCCAGGATACCGCAGCGTCAGGGGAAGAGAACCTTATGGTGACCTAGGATACCGCAGTCAGGGGAAGAGAACCCGGTAAAGACTCCAGGATACCGCAGTCAGGGAAGAGAACCCAGGTGACTCCAGGATACCGCAGTCAGGGGAAGAGAACCCAGGTGACTCAGGATACCGGCAGTCAGGGGAAAGAGAACCCAGGTGACTCAGGATACCGGCAGTCAGGGGAAGAGAACCCATTCGACTCAGGATACAGGCAGTCAGGGGAAGAGAACCCATGCGACTCAGGATACCGGCAGTCAGGGGAAAAGAACCCATGCGACTCAGGATATAGGCGGTCAGGGGAAAAGAACCCATGCGACTCAGGATACAGATACTCTGGGGAAGAGAACCCATGCAACTCTGAATACCCAGAACACAGTCAGTTGGGGGAAGAGAACCAAGGTGACTCAGGATGAAGGGGACCACCAGGCGGCTGGAGACATCCGACGGGAGGGAGACCACCGGGCAGCTGGAGACACCGGGCGGCTGGCGCCCTGAGTGAAGGGGGACCACCGGGTGGCTGGCGCCCTGAGTGAAGGAGACACCTGGGCGACGAACACTCAAGCAGGGAGGGAGGGAGTCAGTTAGTGATTAGGAGCCAGATAGTGAGTGAAGTGGTGGGGAGCCGGATAATGAGGGTGGAGGAGGGGAGCTGGGCAGTGAGGGGGAGGTGAGGCGGATAGTGCGAGTGGAGGTTGAGGAGGAGGATAGTGCGGGTGGAGGTGATAGTGATGTGGATAGTGCGGGTGGAGGGGGAGGCGGATAGTGCGAGTGGAGGGGGAGGCGGATAGTGCGAGTGGAGGGGGAGGCGGATAGCGAAAGTGAGGGGCGAGGGATGCGGAGGCGGTAGAGGTTGATGGTGATAGTGCGGGTGGAGGGGGGAGGCGGATAGAGCGGGTGGAGGGGGGGAGGCGATAGAGCGGTGGAGGGGGAGGCGATAGGAGCGGTGGAGGGGGAGGCTGATAGGAGCCGGGTGGAGGGGGCTGAGGAGGAGTGATAAAAGCGGGTGGACAGTGATGGTGATAGCGGGTGGAGGGGGGAGGCGATAGAGCTGGTGTGAGGGGGGAGATGGAGCTGGGTGGAGGGGAGCGGGTGGAGGGGGAGCAAGTGGAGGGGGAGCGGGTGGAGGGGGAGCGGGGTGGAGGGGGAGATGGAGGCGGCAGAGGTTGATGGTGATGGTGCGGGTGGAGGGGAGGCGGATAGAGCGGGTGGAGGGGAGATGGGAGCGGGTGGAGGGGAGATGGGAGATGGGAGCGGGTGGAGGGGGAGATGGAGGCGGGTAGAGGTTGATGGTGATGGTGCGGGTGGAGGGGGAGGCGGATAGAACGGGTGGAGGTGATGTGGATGGTGCGGGTAGAGGTTGATGGTGGGGGCGGATAGAGCGGGTGGAGTGAGAGACGGAGGCGATGGTATGCGATAGTGCGGGGAGGTGATGGCGGGGTGTAGGGGAGGAGGAGCGCAGGTGCGGGGGAGGTGATGGTGTAGGGGAGGCGGATGAGCAGTGGGGGAGGTGGATGGTGATGGTGCGGTGTAGGGGGAGGCGGATAGAGCGGGTAGTGCGGGGGAGGTGATGGTGATGGTGCGGGTGTAGGGGGAGGCGGATAGAGCGGGTGGTGCGGGTGTAGGGGGAGGCGGGTAGTGCGGGTGAGGCCGGAGCCGATCCATACCTGGCTCACATCGTCCTTGGCGTCGGCCAGGATGCCGTAGTTGCGGTATAGATCTTCCACGGTGGGCATGGCGGGCTCGGGCTGGGTGTCCGCTCGGTTCTCGGTCCGTTGGCCTGATTCTCCCGGGCTCACAGTGTGCGCACAGCTCTACCAGCGAGACCAACGATAGACACTGAGCCGATAACAGAGCGGCACAGCGACACCTGGAGGCACCTGGCGGTCACTGCAAGCAGCGCACAGTACGACACAGCGAGGGAGGCGGCCGAGACAGCGACACCTGGAGGCACCTGGCGGTCACTGCCAACAGCGCACAGTACGACACAGCGAGGGAGGCGGCCGATACAGCGACACCTGGAGGATCCTGGAGGATAATGCTCTATACTGCACACAGAGTAGGCGCTATCACGAGACAGCGACACCTGCAGGAGACTACCGGAATCACAGGACACAGCAGACCTTCACCCAGCAATGTTCTCAGTCTGTTTGAGCTGGGTCTGAATTTTTGGGGGCCAGTTATACCCAGTCAGAGGGGGGCAGTGCCCTGAGACAAAACAAAGCACTCACAGGGGGGTGAGACTGCTCTACAAAGAAACCTATAGAATGACATAGGGGGGAACCTGACATTAGCATATTATTAGAATATTCACAGGGAGGGAGCCAGTGTTCACCAAACATTAACATAATACCTGCAGGGAGGCTCTGCACTTACCCAAAATATCACCATGAGCAATTTCACATAGTGTGTGCCCAGATCAGGCTGTACATAGACTAATGGAGATGGGGGTACACTGTGAGAATTAAAGGGGTGAATGGACACCCCTAATTGCACATTGGTAGCCATGTATTATAAAGAATTGGCTCAAGTTGGGACAAGGGTCAGGGTCAACTCTTTTTTTAAAGTTACCCTTAAATAATTATACCAAAATAATGAAATGTATTATTTGGAAATATTAATAATAAAATCATCCCTAGAAGACATGGCCAGATTGTAGAGTCAAATGGCCAGATCCCAAGGGTTCATAGGGCATATTCTTATTGCACATGGCTAGGTTCTAAGTGTCCATTGAACTATTTTTATTGCAGGTTGCCATATTCAAGCATTCAATGGTCAGATTCTAAGGATGTGTACTGCAGATTCTTAAAGCACGTGGCTAGATTGTCAGGGTTCATGGTCCAGAATTATATAGGACATGGCTAGATTCTCAAGATTCATGGCCACAATCATTTTGCACATGTACAGATTATAAAGGCTTTTCAAAGCATCTGAACTTAATACAAGGGAGAGCAAAATATATTTGTCCATGGTGATCATATTCATTATTAAAATGAATTTTTGTCTAGAATGATGGGTTCTGGGCAATTATTCTCCCATCAGTTCGGCTATGTCAGAATTCCATGAAGGCCTGATGAACTATACACAATAATATTGAAAATCAATATGAGTAATTCCAATAACAAGGTAATGATATTAGAATATGACCAATGATAATTCTATCAGATTTCGTAACTTTGTTAGGTAAAACTTCAAACTTACTATATTAGGGGAGAATGTTACTAATGATTTAACGAACTTGTGTATAGATTTTAAAAGTCAAAACATGATAGTTTACAATTCCATTTTTTCATTTCTTTCTTCCCCCACCTTTGTCTTGTGTTTATATTTGTTAAACATTTAGATTGAATGCCCTAGGTTTTTTGTAATTGAAAAAAACTCAATAAAATAATATAAAACATAAGCAGAATAATTATGAGCAATTGAACAGTTTTGATGTTAAACTCAATGTTTTTTATGCTAAATAAAGCAGTTTTAGTGTATAGATCATTCCCCTGCAATTTCACTGCTCAATTCACTGTCATTTAGGAGTTAAATCACTTTGTTTCTGTTTATGCAGCCCTAGCCACACCTCCCCTTGCTATGATTGACAGAGCCTGCATGAAAAATAAAAAACTGGTTTCACTTTCAAACAGATGTAATTTACCTTAAATAATTGTATCTCAATCTCTAAATTGAACTTTAAAGGACCACTCTAGGCACCCAGACCACTTCAGCTTAATGAAGTGGTCTGGGTGCCTGGTCCTTCTAGGGTTAACCCATTTTTTCATACCGTGTTTCTCCGAAAATAAGACCGGGTCTTATATTAATTTTAGTCCCAAAAAACACACTAGGGCTTATTTTCAGGGTAGGGCTTATTTATTTATGGTACCGGTATGTACATTGAACCCCCCCTTTAATTAATCCACCCACCTTTAATAAATCCACCCCCTCTAATTAATCCACCCCTCTAATTAATCCACCCCCCTTTAATTAATCCACCCTCCTTTAATTAATCCACCCCCAATAAATCCACCCCCCAATAAATCCAGCCCCTCTAATTAATCCACCCTCATACAGTGAAAATCCACCCCTCCTTTAATTATCCACCCCTCATAATCCACCCCTCCCTTTGTTAATCTCTACCTCTAATTAATCCACCCCCTCTAGTATCCCACCCCTCAGCATTTAATCCACCCCCCCTCTATCCCTCTAATAAATCCACCCCACCTCCTCTAATTAATCCACACCCCACACTCCTTTAATTAATCCACCCCTCCTTTAATTAATCCACCCCCTAATAAATCCACCCCCTCTAATAAATCCACCCGTTTAATTAATCCAACCCCCCTTTAATAAATCCACCCCATTCTAATTAATCCAGCCCCCCCTTTAATTAATTCACCGCCCCCTTTAATTAATTCAGTCCCAGACATAAAATATCTACTCACAGATGCCTTCCTTGCCCGCCGCGTCCGACCACACCGTTGCCTCACGCCGGAAATAGATCCTTCATTTGAAGATCCGTGAAGGCAGACTTGTGACGCTGCTGCGATGGAGTATCCGTTGCGTGCTGACCTGCAGCGGCTCCTCCTCCTCCTCATAGAAAGGTCCGCCGGGCCGAAAGGTACAATGCCTAGGTCTTATTTTCGGGGTAGGGCTTATATTGCAGCCCACCCCGAAAATTCAGCTAGGTCTTATTTTCGGGGTAGGGTGTATTTTCGGGGAAACACGGTATATACACACACATATATATATATATATATATAATTTCATTCTATAGTAATTATAGCAATCCGAAGAACAATCTCAGGAGCAGGGACTATAGCAGGTATAGCGGTTCCCTACAATCACGAGATGAGGCTCTATGTTGAGGGTAAGCAGGCACTCATTTAATGGTAGCCACAACTAGTATTTTATGCAAGTCTTCCTGCAAGGGACACTCCCCTGGACCTGAGAGTAAACCACAGTAGAAACAAATACACAATCACATTGGCTCTCAGATCTAGGGCACTCCCACACATAATAGGTCAATCCCTCCTCTGTACCTGGTAGAAAATTGAGTCAAGTATTGTATTAACTCAATTATCTCCAGACACAAAAACACACATTTTTATAAAAAACCCAAAATACCTTTAAAACACACAAAATCCCCACAAATGTTACATCCTCTGATAGCCCCAATCTGGGTGACCAACATATCCAAAAATCACCCAGATCATTTCAGAAATTTCCTGGAAGTCATTTATTTGACCGACCGCACGCATGGTCCCATGCCCAAAACAGTTCCAGAGAATCAGGACTTGCGGTCGGTCTAGTTCGGTAGTTTAAAAATGAGCAAACTACCGAACATAGTTGTGACGAGACCAATCTCGCCACATTGCATTGGAGAAGCCGGGTTGCTCACCTGTTGCATTTGGATTATGGCCCCATGTTAAAAGGCTTGATTTTCCCCTGCAAAGACAAGAAAGCCGGGTCATTTCGTGCTTGCCCTATTTGAGCAGTGATACCCCAGATAGCTATGCCATGGAGCCCATTCGTATAATGAAAGACTATGGGAAAGACTTTGGCTCCATGGCAATTGAACTGTATGTGTGTGCTCTGAGCGCCATTCAGTAATAATGTGAGCTCAGACCTCAGCTATCTGGGCATATGTTGCATGTCTGTATTTTATGTCATAAATGTAATCTTGTGTATTTTATTGTATTTTACTGTCTTTTTGCCGCCATGTGTTCAATGGAGTTTTGCCTCTGTCTTTGGAGATAATTGGATTACTTCACAATTATCTCCAGGATAGAAGACTCTGTGGAACTGGTTTTGGGCAGAAAAGCCATGCTTCCTGTGGTCACAAAGGACTACGATCTATCTTTTTGAACCACTGGACCAATTTGTATGATTTTGACGTATGTTTGTATTTGGAGTATGCTGATTCTGAAAATGTAAAATTTTATGTGAATGTGATGCATACTTTTCAAGTTATGAATAATGTGGAAAAATTGTATTTCTCTGCTTGTGCTAAATTACATTACCCATTGTGTAAGGTAATTGAATCACAAGCAGAGGGAAGGAATTTGTGTGGGAGTGTCTGAGTGTATTGTATGTGTTTATTGGTTGTGTTCCAAAACCCTGTGGGTGGTACTAATGTGTAAGAATGTGTACATAAGCACAATAAACCCCCAGCTCTGACTGTTCACTGCTTGACCCTCAACACGGAGCTTTGTCTCGTTCTTGGGGGGATTTATTGTATGCTGTTCCAGTTTGACTGCTAGGAGTGTAAACCTATTCGTATGGTTTTTCCTCTTCGGCTGTTTACAGCATTCATATGGTTTCCTGTTCGGTGGATTGGTGTTCTGCAGTAGCTGTGCCTGTGTCTCTGGAAGGGGACGATCGCCTAAACAGTTTTGACCCCTTGTGTGCAAAACGGTCCGTTACAATAGTAAATGTTCTTACCCTGGAGTTTGTTCCCCTCATCCAGATGAACGATTCCACCGAATAGTGCCTTCTAAATTGTATGGAACCGAACGCAGGTGATGATGGAAGTCCAGTGGTGTTCAGGAGTTTCTGTGTCCAATTTTAGTTCCACGAGATTCATGCCCAAACACCGCTGCCTGCATTCATGTGAACAAGATGGCCACCACCTCGGGGTTGTCCATAGGAATTGCGGCCACTCAGACGAACAATTAGAACACTGCGGTGAGAACCTTTCCAAGGTGTTAATAGGGGTTAACAAGCTCCCGGGTGGTCCCTGGTTCGTGCA